TACTTCCACTTTTACCAGAGTATTTTTTAACACAAGTATCTGTACTTTTACTCAAGTACGGAAAGTGAGTACTTTTGCCATCTCTGAGTACCACCCATGTACGGAGGCCTTAGTCCTCGACGCGGCCGACCCGGGTTCGAATCTGACCTTTGGTCCTTTCCTGCATGTCTCTCCCTCTCTCTCATACCCCCTTTTACTGTCAGCCTAGTGTCCAGAAAACGGCCACTAGTGTCGCAAAAACTAAACTAAAATAAAATTAAATTAAAAAAAATAAAATTCTGAAGGCCCTGGGCAGATTTGATTGACATGGCAACAAACTGAGGCTGAAATCTGATTCGACAACAACTAAAGCAAACACAACTAAATGTAATGGAAGCAGCACAGCCAAGAGAAACACTACAGAATTAAGAGAATTGATTCTTTGGAATAAATTAATAGAAGAAGAAAATTTAAGTTTAGGTTGTGAATATAGGTCAGTGTTTCTGATAGATTTTAGGCCAGCAGTGAAGACCTTGCAGCCCACTGCTGATTGTGATATACAAATAACTTGCCTTGCCTAATTAGTCCAGTTTTGGCCAAAAACACGGCTGAAAGTAAACCTCAGCAATAATTACCTCATTAAACGCTCAGCCTGTCTGCTGCAGGTCCCAGCAGTGATGATCAAACTGGTCTCACTCCCAGTCTGGCCCAGTGGAAGCTGCAGCTGTACAGGACTCTGGTCAGACACTACAGCGACACAGCCAGGTCTCCTCTCCTGCCGCAGAACATGACGGACGTCCACGCGGCCATCACCGACCTGCTGGGTATGAAAGCAGACGCCTGCATCAGGGGCCTGCTGGTTCCGCTAAGGTTCTTTGTAGTGGGGGAAAAAAGTATTCAACCATTTACTCCAGTTAAATAAACAGAGATTGATGGGTTTTTCTCTCAGTCGGCGCTTTATTTTATCTTTGCAAAGAGAGAATAGTTCATCATACGGCCCTTATTGTAGAGTAATCAGCCCTGTTCCGATCTGGACTGCAGTCATTCCCCTTACTTACAAAAATGGAAAGTAGTCGGAGTCAAAACAAATTACAGAAACTTTGGTTAAACAGTAACATGTTATGAATAAATTGTGAGAAAGAATCTGGCTTGTTATGGGAATAAGTATGCTTTATCTACAAATACCCCTCAATCGGGCGTTGTGTGGCCTTGCAGGTGAAACTGACTGAGTGAAAAAATTTAATAGCGAGTAAATGGGATAAATCATATATGAAATAAGAGAAATCTAAATTTTCTGAACACATTCTTACAGCCTGTTCAATCTGATGTTTTACAGCAGACATGTTCACATGTCATTTTTTGCAAGTCCAAGTCAAGTCTCAAGTCTTGAGAAGGCCTGTCGCAATTATCAATTAATCGCACAATAAATTCTAATCACTCGATTAATTAAAATAAGTTCAATAATTTTCGTGCTTGCTTGTTTCTCCTCGTGTTTTCATCTCCGTCAGTGATAGCTTAAAGGTCACTATTATATCTATGGAATGATCATTATCTTGAACTGGTAAATGAAAAATACAATTTAAAAAAGCACACGCGCAATTTTTTTCCAGTTAAATTTTGCATCTTTATTTTTTTCTTTCAAAAACAACTATTTTCTTACAGTATTTACCTGACATTTGTGGTTACAACTTTGTCTAGTTTTAGGAGTAAATGTCTGCTCTTTTTTTTTTAAGTGAAAATGAGGACTGTGGGAAAGAAATACAAAAACAATCCTGCTTTTTATTAATACATATGAAGTTAGCAACTACAACAGATAAAGAAAAACC